AGAGGAGAGGAGAGGAGAGGAGAGGAGAGGAGAGGAGAGATGAAGGGGAGCTGTGTGATGTTCACCAAACATCTAGGACAAAACTTTTTTCCTGAGAATCCTTTGATTTTTGAATTGTCTCCCACTCAGCCCATCCCACATCCTCACCTCCTGGGTCTCACTTGTACATCTTAGGAGAGGAGGTGAAGGAAGACTAGGTATGCCCTGTAGGCTTATCTCTTTAAACCAAGTCCCTAGAACCACTGATACAATCCTCCTGATCACCCTCCCTGGCCAGCCCTGTGTGAAGGTAGGAAGCTGGGAAGGGTTCCCACAGTGCATTAGTTCCCTACAGTAAAGAGTATTGTGGTGCTATCTATCCCTGGTCAATAATTCATGAAGCTCAGACTGAGGGGCACCAGTCAGAGTCAGTTTTCCCTCGACATGGGGAAAATTAGAGTTAGGCTCTCTTATCTCATCAGGATATGCTGAGTACTACAACTGTGACTTCTCAGTTGAGAAATACACCATAAATCCAGTGCGAGCTAGTACAATCGCTTACTATCCACACACCCTTCTGATTGCTGAAATTCCATTTCAACAACTCAGCTGACCTCACCAACACTAAGTAAACTTTAGCAAGTATGAATTCAATTAAGCAATGATTCTCTACAACTGGATTTCAGACCAGAATTCTCTCCCCTCCAATTGTAGGGACTAACATAAGGTTGACAGACTGGTAATTTCACCAACTAACAACACTTTTCTAAACCTACCCATCTGCTTTAATCATCTTTTCTGAAAGAAAAGACTAACACCAAAATTGAGAGCAAAAGCACATTGAAGAATAAAGCATTAGCTGTTAAGTTAAATATGCTTAGCTTTATGAAACTCATTAGATTCTCATTGTGCCTCAAACTAGTGGAAACATCACCATAGGCAAGCCCTGTTTCTCAGTCTGGCACTTGGCAGCCCTTGGGTTAAAGCAGTTCAGGCACTTGCACGTGGGTATGTTCAGCCTTTGTATAGTGTACCATAGCCATCCAGATTTATGAATTCTCCCAGAAACCCAGGAGGGAGATCATTTCAGCCCACTTGGCAGAAACGGAGGCTGAAGTCTTGGATCCAGAATTTATAGCTGTTGAGGACTTTATTCATCATCTACTCAACATTCTCAGTTCACAGATGAAGACTCTGGCTTGTGGCAGCAATAATAATTACTGTGTGATGGCAATAATTACTATGTGCTAGTAGTTTACAGTTCATAACGTGCTTTTATATTCAGCAAATATTTATTGAACTAGGCTGGAGGTTAAGACCTAGGGACATAATGATCAGGAAGAACTTGAGCATTCCTGAGTTCTCTGTCCATTACTGGCTAGGGATGTCCTGGAGCATCCAATCTACCATTTAGTCCCTGGAAGATGGGAAGTCCTCTTGAATAGAGTCAGTATCTCTATCTCTGCACTCTGCTTACCACTGTGGTCCCAGGCTGCCCTCATAGACTGTGAAGTTGGCACAGACCTTGAGGAAAAGGTAGTGCCAGGCCTATGGCTAGCTATAGATCTCCCATTTCATTTGTTTCCTGGGCTCCTCTACCCTTGCATAGTGGACTCCATGAAGATCACAATCTTGACAGCCTTAAAATATTGTCCTCCTCTGAGCTGTAACCTGTGTAGACCTGCGCGCGCGCACACACACACACACACACACACACATACACACATATGCTTACTAGTAATGGGGCTTGAACTCAGGACCTGGGTGCTTTTGTTTTTTTTCTGGCTTTGATTTTTTTTTTGGTAGTTAATTGGACATTAAGAGTCTCACAGACTCTCTTGCCCTCACTGGATTCGAACCATGATCCTCAGATCTCAGACTTCTGAGTAGCTAGGATTATAGGCATGAGCCACCAACACCAGCTCAAAACAGAATTCTTTCTTCAAGAAAATCTAAGTCTGGCATCGGTGGCTCATTCCTGTCACCCTAACTACTCAGGAGGCTGCAATCTGAGGATCATGGTTGGAAGCTACCCTAGCAGGAATGTCTGTTAAAAAAAAGCAAAACAAAACAAATCAACAACAAAAAACCAGAAGTGGAGCTGTGGCTCAAGTAGTAGAGTGCTAGCCTTGAGCAAAAAAAAAATCAGGGACAGTGCCTAGGTCCCGAATTCAAGCCCCAGGACCAGTGAGAACGCGCGTGCACACACACGCGCGCACACACACACACATACACACACACACACACACACACACACAGTCTATTTTGAGATTTGAAGGAGCAAAAGTAAGTAACTCAAAACCTCCTCTTCCACCGCCTCACCACAATCAGAGATCAAGCACATGTGAAGGAGGAGCTGGGGCTCGGGGAAGTCGACAGAGTTGCTCCTGGGTGGGAGGAACTAGAGTGGCCCTACAAGAAACCTGGACCCAGGGCAGGTCGCCAAGACCGGCAGAGGGGAGAGCCCTGCGGGGCGCGGCAGCAGTGCGCCGGCAGGGGGCGCCCGCAGCTGCAGCCGGCTGCCCGGTGCTGAGCCGCTCCCCCACCCCCACCCCCCTACCGCCCCTGGGCCCAAAGCCAAGTCCCGGAGGCGGGACCCGCCTCGTCCTGCCCCTTGTCCTTCTGAGCAATCACCCGCCCGGGCAAAGTGGAACCCCCCTCCCCCCCCATCGCAGGCCTGAGCCATGCAGAAGGCGGGACTGCTGCTTGGTGGCTGTGTGCGGGCGTGGAAGTCCGCGAGGATGGCCAGTTCCAAGGTGACCCGCCAGAACCCGCTCCAGAATAAGGTGGCCCTCGTGACGGCCTCTACCGACGGGTGAGTGCCGGGACCGGAGTCGCTGAGGCCCTCGATCCCAAGAAACAGGGACTGCCCTCTTATCCTTTGTCTCCGGGGGGCCCCGATTCTCAGTCCTCGAACGTGATCCGTGGAGAAGAAGAGGCCACGAGACCCACCCGAACCCCTGACCTGGCCCCTCCACCGCCAGACCTCGTGCGTGTCACTGCTGCCTTTAGCACAGTGCATGCTCAATGCCTTCAAAGACCCAAACTCTGTGCTCCGGGCTGCCCCAGTCAACAGCTCCACCTAGAGCCTGGGAAGACCAGATAACCTGAATTCCAAAGGGCCACATGTCAAAGTCCTATCCTGCAGTCTCCACCCCTTATGAAAATGCTGCAGCGACCCCATTTGGGCACCCGAAAAGCCTCCCAGTGTTACCCACCCAACCTCTTTATCTAGATGGGACACCCATAGATCCAGATTTTTGTTCCAGTCAATACATTTCGGCCCACCCTGCCTGGCGTGGATCTCTCTCATCACCCAACCACCTCTATGGCTATCCTGTTTCTCTCTTCCAAAGGACTTTGCTGGATGGTAGTTCCTCGTGAATGTAAAATACAGAGCCCAGAGCTAGTGACTCACACCTGCAATCTTAGCTACTCAGGAGGCTAGGATCTGAGGATCACAGTTCAATGCTAGCCCCAGTAAGAAAGTCAGGTGAGCCTATCTCCAATTAACCACCAAAAACCTGTTAGAGGAACTGTGACTCAAGTAGTAGAGCACCAGCCTTGAGTGAGAAAGCTAAGGGGCAGTGCCTGGGCCTTGAATTCAAGCCCCAATATTGGCACAAAAATAGGTAGGTAGGTAGATAGGTAGATAGATAGAATAAAGATGAATAAATACTAAATACAAGTCATTTGAGATGCTCATGCCTGGGCTGGGGTGTAGCTCAGGAATAAGACACCTGACAAACATGCAAAAAGTCCTGGTGGCTAGCAGTTGGAAAATGTGTAGTCCTTATTCCTATGAGAATATTTCAATTTTTAACCATCCTTTCTCATTCATCCCCAAAATGCAGCTAAGGGTAGTCCCATTTCATAGTTGAGAATGATATCCTCTAGTTAAGGGAGATATTTGGGGACAGGGATTCTTTCAAGTGAGACCCTCAAATAGCTGATGCGTGGTGTCAGGTCCAGGGAACCAACATTAAAGAACAAGATCTTATGTCTACCTGGCAATGGCTATGCCATTATGCCTGTTTTATATCTAATATAGATACATGGGGATTATACAGACGACGACAAGCTGAATCCAAATTCAGGCAGTCCAATCCAGGGCCCATGCTGGAAGCCTTTTTCCTTGTACAGGCTTTGACAAGTCTTTGTCTCTCTCTGCCTGGCAGGATTGGCTTTGCCATCGCCCGGCGTCTGGCCCAGGATGGAGCCCACGTGGTTATCAGCAGCCGAAAGCAGCAGAATGTGGACCGTGCAGTGGCCACGCTGAAGGGGGAGGGGCTGAGTGTGACAGGCACCGTGTGCCACGTGGGGAAGGCCAAGGACCGGGAGCGCCTGGTAGCCACGGTGAGCAGCAGGGATAAGGGCATCCAGCCAGGAGGTGGCAGAAGGGAGCCAGTCTGCTCCTCCATCTCTGATTTCCTAGACAGCTTTGGTGCCATGCAAAGCAAAACTATTAACTAAAATTTAACAGTACATCTAAATACCCCACTAGAACACTAGCTCATTTTTATTGTGTGCCTTTCTATTATGTGCATATCCCAGTCTGAGAACCATCTGGTTCCAATCAGAAAATTTAAAACTACTTTAACGCTTCAACCTTGTATCATCTCTTAGCCAGGGGAAGGGGGGACTAGGCTTGGACTGGGACTAGGCCATTTTGTGTAATTGAGCAGATATGAAAGGCACATAAAATCACAGAGTAGTGTTCCCACTCATGATCAAATAAACAATCCCCTGTACTTTGGCTTATAGAGTCCCTGGGAACTTATCAAAGGCAGCCCACCCTATTAACCATCCCCTGCATGCTATTGACTGGTTCTGAGCCATATACGGGTTTTCTCTAAAGCTGACACTAATCCAAAAAAGGCAAGGATTATTCTTCCTATTTTCAGAGACTGATTCATATAGTTAAACCTACTTCCTAAGGTCTCACAGCCAATAGGGAAAGAGCTGTGATTCAATCCAGATTCCCTGCTTTTGGGCTACCTGCAGTGCCTACCAGGCACTTCTCCATTAGCATAGAGACAGGCCTTAGGTGCTGGTATGGACTTTAATCTCAAAGTTGGCATCTAAGCCAGACTTTGAGTTGGTACTTGACACCACCTTCCAGCTGCAAAGACAATACAAATCATCCAACAGAGTCACAGGGCGAACCTTCCCACAAAGGCAAAGTAGGGGATTGTGCTAACAGCTTGGAAGGTTGGCAGAAATAATCCAGGTAATCTTACAAGAGGAGGTCCTCAAACAATGGTAGATAGAGGTACTGTGGACGGATGGATAAGTTAATTCCCTTCCTAAGGAACCATTTGGCAAATGCTCCTATGTGATTGCAATCAGACAGATGTAGACCTAAAAAGGTCATCTTGCATTATGGCATAGGCTGATGGACAGAGCCAGAGATTGGGACCTTGACTTTCAGGGTGGAGGTAGATATTTTGGGATCCTGAGCCAGTCAGTGACTAACCACTTGAAATAAATATTGTAACCTCTTTTCTCCTTTTATTTTCCAGTGTCGGGGGCAAACCCAGGCCTTCTCAGAATTTAATATCAAAATCCTGCGTGGGCCAGGCACTCATGCCTATAATCCTAGCCACTCAGGAGACTGAAATCTGAGGATCTTAATTTAAAGCCAGCTCAGGCAGAAAAGTCCATGAGACTCCTATCTCCAATAAACCACCAGAAAACCAGAAATGTTGCTGTGGCTCAACTGGTAGAGCCCTAGCCTTGAGCCAAAGAGCTGAAGGACAGCGCCCAGGCCCAGAGTTCAAGCCCCCCAACCAACAAAAAAAAAGTCCTCTGGCCTATGACAGGTCTATCTAGTAGGTCCTTCAGCCCTACTCAAATAGCATTTGGGCTAAGACCCTGAGGAGTGGGAGTAGAGAGATAGAGTAAGGATGGGGTTCCAGATGACCTTACAAAATGAGCAGACAGCCAAGGAGGGACTGGCAGAAAGAGGAAAAATCTAGTCCACAGCATATATCATATACTCAAGAAGGACTGTGGAAAATGGGCTGCATAAGGAAGGTGGACAGAGGAACATCCACAACCTCGCAGAGGCATTTAAAGGTCTCTGTAGGAATAAGAAGCCATGTGAGGTTTTGAGCAAGATGAAAATGATAAGTAATCAATAACTAACCAATGGTAGGAAGGATAACTACAGAAGACCCTGAACCAAGGGCATTTTTTAGAAAGCTGTTGCTGTCATCTGTGTTGAAAATAGTGGTGATGGGACCAGAATGGATTGTCCAAGAAACATTTAGTGGAACCAACCAACATGTTTTTCCTCAACCACATGTCAAAAAACTGAGAAATAGGAGAGATAAGTCAAAACAACTTTGGAAGTTTGTATGACTGTTGTCAGAGTGCAGAGTAATAGGCAATTACCAGCAGTTTGAGATATGTCTGACTGTTGCCAGCTGTTGCCCTGCACTTAGAAAATCTGCCACCAAGAGGATGGGTATTCGGTGGCAGAAAACACATTAGCAATTTCTCCACTTGATTATATCTTTTTCTTTAAAAAGAAAATACCTGTCAAAAGAAAAACCACTTCAGTGTAGTGATCACACAATCTAGAACAAGATTTAGAAGGAACCAGAGAGATCATAGGTACCTTTCTCATTCATCTTATATGTTTTTTGTTCTGTTCAATCAAAACTCAGCCGTTAGCCAGGTGTGGGAGGCTCATAACTGTAATCCTAGCTACTCAGGAGGCTAAAATCTGAGGATCATGGTTTGAAGGAAAGTCCATAAGACTCTTCATGTCTAATGAATCACCAAAAAAATCTGGAAGGGAGAGCACAGAAGTAGAGGGACAAAGGGAGAACAAATGCAGCAGTGGTACTCACTAGAAAATGAACTATACAACTTGTAGGCAGGCACCGGAGAGGAAAACTGGGAGATAGTGAAGGAAGAGATGACATTGTACAAAAAGAATGAAAGGGTAAGCCCTCTGCATATCCCCTTTATAATAGCAATTTTTTTTTTTTTTTTTGCCGGTTGTGGAGCCTGAACTCTGGGCCTGGGCGCTGTCCCTCAGCTCTTCAGCTCAAGGCTAGTGCTCTACCACTTGAGCCACAGCGCCAGTTGCAGATTTTTCTGCATATGTAGTGCTGAGGAATTGAACCCAGGGCCTCATGCATGCAAGGCAAGCACTCTACCACTGAGCCACCTTCCCAGCCCAATAGCAATTTTTTTAATTAAAAAGAAAAGCTAGCCAGGCACCAGTGGCTAGAATCCTAGTTACAAAGGAGGCTAAGATTTGAGGATCATGGTTCAAAGCCAGCTTGGGCAAGAAAATCTATGAGACTCTTAAATCTAGTTAACCACTAGAAAACTGGAAGTGGAGCTGTGACCAAAAGTGGTACAGCACTAATCTTGCTCAAAAAAGCTCAGGGACAGAGCCCAGGCACTGAATTCAAGGCCCAGGACTCACACACACACACACACACACACACACACACACAGCTGGAAGTGGGGCTGTGACCCCAAGTGGTAGCACATTAGCCTTGAGCAGAAAAGCTGAGGGACAGTGCCCATGATTTCAAACCCCAGGACCAACATGCACACACACACTCACACACAAACACACATGCACAAAAACATTCAGCCTTTTCCCCTCTGTGCTGACAGGCCTGCAAGGATACAGAGACAGGGCACACAGGAGAAGGCAGAAGCTCTCTAGCGACTCCAGTATGACCTGACATCTTTCTGTACACACACACACACATACACACACACACACACGACTACTTATTTACAGAGCATCAAACACATCACTTATTTTCAATTTAGCTTTCCTAGTAACTAAACCATCCACCAGGCTTACTTAGACTCAAGGTGGGGTAGATGAGTGAGATTTAGTACCACAACACCAAAAATTAGAGAGCATAAGAAAAGCATTGGTTTTAAAAGATTGTGTGACTTTAAATTTTGTTAAATTTACATATTGACAGCAATGTAGAAACAAGTCAGCAAGAATAATTAGTTAAAAGGCAAAGCTAACAGATGGAGTGTTTTGTTAATAACACCCTTTGTGTGCCAAATCTGAGGCACAAAGTTGATCAAAAGCCTATTTCATGCTACTTGTCCAAGCTATCAAAATCGCCAGATCTAGGCAAATGCAAAGACTGGTTTCAGGATAGCATGTATTGAAAATTCTTGTTGGCAGGTTTTCCTTAGCCATCCGTTATTCTAACACAAGCCTTCACCACTTACTTACAACTTAAGAAGGAGACACCTCCTTTGTTCATTAAACCTCAGTTTCTGCTTTACATCTTCCATGGCTCTGGATCAAAAAGAAGAAAGAGAGTGAAAGAATGACATCAAAGCTGAGTATAGAACTGCTTTAAACTTAGGGTAGTATCTTTAACATCAGTGGTGTAGTGATCCCAAGTCACTTTCTGAAGGCACCTGTGAACGAGCTCTGTGCTGCAAAGTGGGAGACTGACTAGTTCTGCCACCACTAACTGGCTTTGTTGGCTGAGCAAATCCTTTTACCTCTCTCAAACACCAAATGGGCAGGCCTCCTGTTCTTAGTAAGCCCTAAAGTATCATTTCTGTATCATGTGACCTTGAAAGGTGAATGCTCCAGTTTTATCACCTCTACCAGGAGGACACTGGTTTACGTGATCAGGATCCTTCTCAATGATAACTTTACCTGAGTCTAGTTAAACCTGTTTCCTTATTCAAATAAGTGTGGACAAGCTGATTCTGAGAGTGGTAACTTACTCAAAGATAATGGACAGCCAGAACAAGGGGAAATGGAGTTGAGACTCAGTGTGAAAAGAAAAGAGGGTTCTATTGGTCTAGAAATAGATTTTGAGGTGAGTGTTGAAGGAATGAGACTGAAAATGTTCCCTAAAGAGGAAATGTAGAGGAAAGAGTCAAAAACATCATTAGATGAAAAAGTAGGCTAGAAAGAAGGCAGAAGAAATAAGACAACCTCAAATGGTTAGCAGTAGAACTTAGGGTAGTTATTCAAGAGATGTTTAATAGCTGTTCCTAAGAAGAAATTCGTTATGAACATTGTATCTCCTTCCCTTACTGGAAGCCCTGACCCAGACCTTCCTCCCCTCCAGGCGGTGAACCTTCATGGAGGTATCGACATCCTCATCTCCAATGCTGCTGTCAACCCCTTCTTTGGGAACCTATTAGACACCACTGAGGAGGTGTGGGACAAGGTAAGAGCGAGTTAAAACAGCAGAATGTAGTCCTTAGGAAACATCCAGCACAAATGTAGTGTGCTTTTAGCAAGCTTTGTCAAATGCCAATGTAAATGTAACACATCACACATCCAGTGTGCACCTGGTAAAGGGCAGGTGGGTGTGGCCTCTTCTGTCCTGCTCTTCTCTTCCATTCTCTTCTTGCCCAGTTTTGTCTTCTTCCATTTGCTTTGTGCCAGCCATCTTCTGCTTCTCTTCCCCAGCTCTCCCCTGTGTTTACTCTTCTTCATGATTTATTTCCAGCCAAGACATGGCAGCTAATAGGCCAACAACTAATCCACTTAAACTCGCACACCCACCCATCCTCTTTGCAGCTGCCAAGAAAGAATGCTTTTGCATTAGTTTGGAAACATGAATAGCTGCTGGTTAAATGAAATATCAATTCTGGTAAAATTACCAAAGTTGCTACTTTATAACATAATAGCCTCTCCCTGTCACCTCTCTTTCTCCCAGTACTGAGGATTGGACTCAGGGCCTCTTACTTGCTCTACCACACTTCCATTCCTTTTGAAGTATTTTTGTCTTGCTTTATGCCCCAGCACACCTGGACTGCAAACCTTTTTGTGCTTTCTGTGTCACTGGAGATGATGGGCACATGGTATTGCTCCCAACCGTTTTGCTTCCCCCATAGCTGGGATAACTAGGTAGAACCACAACATTCAGCTATTGGTTGAAATGGAGTCTTGCAAACTTCATGCCTAGACTATCATTGAGCCTCCATCCCCCATCACTGTCCCACAAGTAGCTAGGATTACAAGCTTAAGCCACTGTGCCCAGCTTAGATCTGTCCTCTAACTATTATTAGAACTAAAAAAAATCTACACCCAGATGTCTAATTCATTCTTGTGTTGCTGGGGTTTGAACTCAGGGCCTCACTAAGCAGATGCTCACTAAGCAGATGCTGTACCACTTAAGCCACACCCGCAATCCCTGGTGTTCTAAATTCAAATGCTAGAATATCGGTTTTTATGCGAACATGTGATTATATCATATTCATAATATATTTCACCCGCTTACATCCTTTAATTACAAAGGTTTAATTAAAATATTTGTCTTTGTTTACTATGGCTACTATTCCCACAAGATTTGAAAATGGTGAATTTCATATGATCTCCCTTGGTTTTCCTTTTTATTCTGATATCAATGATTTCTTAGCACTAAAGTTTAAGGATACTGCACCAGGAGCTGGTATCTCATGCTTGTAATCCTAGCACCCAGATCCTAAGTTCAAGCCCAAGTTCTGACACAAAAAAATAAAATAAAATAAATAAACTAACTTTAAGAATACAAAAACAGGGGCTGAGAAGATGGCTCATGGTAGAGTGCTTGCCTTGCATGCATGAGGCCCTGGGTTCAATTCCTCAGCACCACATAAGCAGAAAAAGCCGGAAGTGGCACTATGGCTCAAGTGGTAAAGCACTAGCCTTCAGCTTAAGAGCTGAGAGACAGCGCCCAGGCCCAGAGTTCAGGTCCCCTGACCAACAAAAAAAAAAGAAAAGAAAAGAAAAAGAAGACTAAAATATTATAATTTGCTTATCAGTATTTTACAATGCCAAATGTCCTTTGTCAAACCAAATCCTGATTCTGATGTTGTCTCAAAAAGCATCTTTTGTGAACATTCTAAATAGAAACCAAATTAAAATCAGTTTTTAAACAAATAACTTTTTATTTTATACCCCTTTAATATCATAGTGTATCAAACCTAAATTCAATGCTTTTGGTTTTTTTGGTTTTGTAATTATTGTTTTCTTGTTTTGGAGATAGGATCTTGTTATGAAGCCCAGACTGGCCTCAAATTCCAGTTTGCACTGCCTTAGCCTCCTACATGCGGGATTATAGAACTGTGCCACTATACCTAGCTCTACTTCTAGCTGAACTTTTTTGTAAGATTGAAATTGGGAGCATCAGAGGGGAATATTCTAGCAGCATTTAGAATAATGAAAACAGGTCAAACATGTTTGATTTTTGTGTGTGTGTTTTTTTAATGTGTCAGTCCTTGGGCTTAAACTCAGGGCCTCTACACTGTCCCTGAGCTTCTTTTGCTCAAGGCTAGCACTCTACCACTTGAGCCACAGCTCCACTTACAACTTTTGTGACTTTCCTGTCCAGGTTGGCTTCAAACTGCCATTCTCAGATCTCAGCATCCTAAGTACCTAGTATTACAAGTGTGAACTACCAGCACCCAGCCAAACATGTTTAATATTTGGGATATAGAGTTTTTCAGTTGAGGCTCATGCCCAACTTCCCTAAAAAGTACCTCATGATCCTACTTTCCATAAGTGTCTAGAGTCCTGGAGGGCCAAAAGCATTCTACTCCCTTGCTTGGAAGCCAGGGAAATGCCACCCTAGGGACCAAGTCAGGCCACATCTTCCCTGAGAAGTATGGCCCACTCTAGGGCAGCTCCAAGAGGTGACCCAATTCCAGGTTTTTCATAGTTGAAAGAAATAAAAACACAGGGGAGCAGGGGAAAAAACTCAAATCCAGAGCAACCCTAAGAGTTTAGGTTCATTCCTAGCTGGTTAGGAGAAATGAATTAGACTGTGTTCTTTCTCATCTGAACCTAACATTATCCACTTGCATGAGCTACCTTTCCCTGAGCCCTGGGACCTTCCTTTGTCAGGTCCAGGTAAATGATTCCTGAAGACTCTGCATCAGATCTGATAAACCAATCCCAGGAGCCCATGGCAATTCCTTATCACTATGTCCCTCCAACACCCTTCTTATGCTGTTTCTCCTTCTTGGCTTCAGATTCTGGACATTAATGTGAAGGCTGCAGCTCTGATGACAAAGGCAGTAGTGCCGGAGATGGAAAAACGAGGGTATGGAAAGGAAGTCTCGGTGAGATGGGGCTCTGAGTGGGCTGAGTACAGTGGTCTCCACCAGGAAAATGATCAGCTCTCTTTTTCTTCCAGAGGTGGGTCAGTGGTGTTTGTGGCTTCCATAGCAGCCTTCGCACCATTTCCTGTAAGAACCCCTTCATCTCCTACTTTCTATCCCATCCTCCATTCTCTACCCCTCTGATTACCCAATAAAGCATGTATCCCCTTTTAGGATCATACCACCAAATCCCTTAATAATTAAGAAAAAAAAAAAAGATGCCTTGCCTCCCAAACCCTAACGTAGTGAAGGGAACAAGACAGCTTCCTAAATGTGCCATTCCTAATAGGAGGCACCCTATGGATTGTTCCTTTGATGGCTTGGAAACTAAGATACTAACCCATTCTTTTCTTTCCTCAGGGCCTGGGCCCTTACAATGTGAGTAAAACAGCCTTGCTGGGTCTTAGCAAGAACCTGGCCCTTGAGCTGGCACCAAAGAACATTAGAGTGAACTGCCTGGCACCTGGACTCATCAAGACTAATTTCAGCAGTGTGGTGAGGAAACAGAGCCCTGTACCCCCTGGAGCCCCTAGAGCCCCTAAAAAGCATCTATCTTTTGAGATGGGGAAAACCCAGTGTCAGAGTGCTGAGCTCACACTCATTTCCATCCTCACTTCCCTAGGCATTTCCCAGTTCCTTTCCATTCCAGCCACTCTCTGCACAGAGACTCCCACACATACATTTCCTGAGGTGTAGGAGGGTAGTCAGGAGTTCAGTCTCTACTCACACTGAACTAGGGTAGTCAGGAGTTCAGTCTCTACTCACACTGAACTAGATGAGAATTGGGGAGAGCCAGCAAAATGCCTCATTAGGACCTAAAAAGAATGAAATAGGGAAGGACAATGAGGAGTTTTGGGAGCCAAGAAGCAACAAGAAGTAAAAGGGGGTGTCTCTCCATACTTCCTCTCAGTTAACATGGGAATGGACAGTTTCCTCCCTTTACCATCCCTCAATTTCCTCTTCTTTCAAGTAAAAAAATGTATTCCTCCTTCCTGCAGTTCTGGATGGACAAAGCAAAAGAGGACAGCGTAAAAGAAAGCATGCGTATTAGCAGGTAAGCTATCACAGGGGAAGATGAGGAAGGGTAATGATGGAAATGCCTCCTCCATAACATCCCATAGTTGACTGCCTAGTGCCACAGATAACATGGGCATGCCTCTTAGACTTCACAAGTTCATAAACACTATCACTACAGTAGTCTTTCCAGCTATGCTGCTTCCATTGTAAAAAGCAGAGATGTGGGGGTTTCAGCTGAGTAGAGCTGTGGGTGCGGCCCTGACCTCTACTTTGCTGTCTACCTCCACTTCTCCACAGATTTGGAGACCGAGAACCAAAACCAGGTTTTTTTAGTTCCCCCTTGAATATACAGTCATGTTTCTACAACTCAGATTGATGACCCTACTATCGAAATAAAAGGAGTAAAGAGCTTTGCTAAGCCCTGAACTCCTTTGCCTAAGGAAATTGTTCTCATCCCTAATGGGCTGGCTAAATTATTCAGACATCTTTGCTAGACTTTCTTTCCTCTAAATTCCATGCCCTTCTCCAACTTTTCGTGTGTGTGTGTGTGTGTGTGTGTGTGTGTGTATGTCACGCACACGCGCACACACACACACACACACACACACACACACACGAGCACGCATACACACGCACGCATGCATCCACCAGTACCAGAGCTTAAGCTAAGGAGCCTGGGCACTGTCCCTTAGCTTTTTAATTTAGGGCTGATACTTTCTACCACTTGGGCCACAGCTCTACTTCTGGCTTTTTGCTAATTAATTGGAGATACGAGTCTCATAAATTTTTCTGCCTGGGCTGGCTTCAAACCAATCCTCAGATCTCAGCCTCTTGAGTAGCTAAGATTACAGGCTGGAGACTCTGGCACCCAGCTCCCTTTTGTCTTCTGAGCATTCTTGCCTTTAGCTTCTCCATTTTGACCCCTCAAGTACAAATGTCAACAATTCCTCCCTCTTTACTAGTCCTAACATCCCAGACTCTCTCAAGTCCTTACGAAACCATTTTAATGTCAGGCATGAGCTGCAGGTCTAGTTCATGATTCATTAATAAGTCAGGGTATTGTCATTTTAGAGCTTCCAGTGAATGGTCTAGCCCCATATATCTCAACTGGATGCACATTAGAATTATCTGGGGAGCTTTTCAAACTGCACTTGCTCAGACCCTTCTCCTAGAGACTCTTCTTTAATTAGTCCACAGTGGTACCTACACATCTCTTTCTTCTTTTTGTTAAGCCTCCCAAATGACTGCAACATGAAACTAAGTTGGAGAATCACTAATCCAAGCCTTCTAGACTTGAGTTTCCTATTCTACCTATCTCTAGAAGATTCGATGCTAGTTCAAGGGTTCCCTAACTATATAATCATTAATACAAACTGAAAATTAACAAGTTCTTACCAAATGAGCATGACCTTAAGGAACAAAAATAGATTTCTGAAATAGTAAATTGAACTTGCACAAATGGGATCACTTAATCACACCATTTACTGTCATACAGACTCCTGACACTTGAATAGTATGTTTATGTGTGAAACAATTCTTCTTTTGAAGTATGAAACAATTGCTCACCATTTTATTAATAAGACTTTGGATTCTGGTGTTCTGAGCTCTCTAAAAAGAAGGTCTCCATATTCAAATAGACTATATTTTAACAGGACACAATATTTATGCTTACACTAAATTATAACTGCTTGGAATCATGATAACACTTTTTGTTGCTGGTCCTGGGGCTCAGACTCAGTGCCTGAGCACTGTCCCTGAGCTTTAGTACTCAAACGTAGTACTCTGGCTGGAAAGGTGGCTCAGTGGTAGAGCGCTTGCCTTGCATGCATGAGGCCCTGAGTTCAATTCCTCAGCACCACATAAGCAGAAAAAGCTGGAAGTGGCACCGTGGCTCAAGTGGTAGAACGCTAGCCTTGAGCTGAAGAGCTGAGGGACAGTGCCCAGGCCCAGAGTTCAGGCCCCATAAACAGCAAAAAACAAAACAAAACAAACAAACATAGTACTCTATCATTTGAGCTCTAGCTCTACTTCTGGCT